ACTGAGAAACACTGTACCACTAGCAGTTCTTGTACTACATAATGAGTGTTTAAAAATTCAGTGAAACTCCAGCTACTTTTTCCTTTGTGGGTTTTGTGGTTTGTTTTGTTTTGCTTTTAATCAAAGGCAATGTCCAGAAACATTATCAGTACTAAGGAATCTGTTCATTATTTTACAAAAGTTCCTAACAGACAGTGACTATTTTATTGTTGGATGTATCCTTTATTTTATTAATGATGAGAAGTAATCAATGGAATGCTAAAAATAAACTTTAAAGAAATCTAGTCTGAAATCTGAGTCTGTTGTTTGAAGCAAGTTCAGTGGTCACGGTAACACCAGTTGAAGATTGACTCTTGCCCATTGTGAAATAGGCATGGCTCTTCTAAAAAGGTCACAAATTTTTCAAATATAGGCACCATGTTTTAAATTTTGCACATACAAAATATGTTCATGTCACTCAAATTACACAATGTGGCAGTGTTATAAGTCTGAACATTACTGTCAATTAATGGCAGAGAAAAGAGCCCAAAGCTCACGTAAGACTAATGACTGGGACAAATCCTGGGAAGAGACAAAAAGTATAAAACAACAGTTTTCCTGTTTTATATGGTTTTGTGTGTGCATGTGTGAGAGTGCATATAACAAAAAATGTTTAAGAGTAAGTTCAGACAATAGCCCATCCATTTGTTCTCAGCTTCTTATCCAGTTTCATTGCTAAAGGCTTTGATTTTAACTGCATGTTAAAATGCAAATTCAAATCCCATATAAACCATTAGTTAGTGTGTTGACTGGTTCAAACCAATCAAAATTGAGAATTACTGCCAAATGTCTTCCTTTTAATCTACTTGTCAGCCTCCGGGTATGTAGGATACTTGACCGTCTCAATTTTCTCCTTAACTTTATAGGACGGGTACAGGCCTGTTCTTCCTAATTTCCTATTGATGCCTTTTGAATAACCATCCCAGTGGTTTCCAGCTACTCCAATTATATCTCCAGGTTCCATAGGAATTTCATCAGCAGTTCGTGGATGATGAGCATAAATAGCAATCTGGTTGTGGGCATTCTGTCCCCCAAAGTAGTAGATATCATCCAAAGAATGGAAATACGCTGAAGCATCTGGATGCAATGTCTGCATAATTTCATAGGCAACTCGACAAACCTTAAAAACAAAACCAGAAGAGAAGTCATAAATGTTGTGTGTGCCTGCAATATACCACAGAAGTCAGCAACCGATGTGTAACAATTAAATTTCACAAAAGGATCCAGTTTTGGAATGTCCAGGTCAAAAAAAAAAAAACCACCAAAAACGCACCCAAACCCAAAAAACCTACATATTTACTAACAAGAAGCATACAATTTTGCAGCATTTTAATTAGTACTCTGGTGATCAGATTTGGTAAATAAATAAATAGATAAATAATTAGAACAGTCTACTTTTCAGTAAAAATTGAAAACACCTATATGAACACTAGCCATCCTGCTTTTTAAAATGAATGATATGTAGCCAATCGACTGTCCAAGCAAATTCGTCTTCCTTTTCTACTACTAATAAAAACTGTATTTTACTTCCCTTTGAACCTTTAGAACTTACATTTTCAAAATTTATTCTGCAATAATGAGGCTTTACATTTACTTTTCTAAAGGAAGCTCCAATTTTCACAATCAAGCGGTTCCAGAAGTTCAAGGCTTTAAAATGCTGTTAATATTAGAACAGTGCTAGAATTATGACTGTTGGCAACTTGAAAGACAGTTAAGTGGAACTGAATTCCAGCAAGACAATAATGATGCTGGTGAGGAGAAAGATGCGTTTTGAAGTGTCATTGTATCGCATTTTATGAAGGAAATTTTCTTCAGACTGAAAACAGGTCCCCAGATCAGAATCGTGTTGTATCTCTCAGAGCTGCCAGAAACACAAAAGGCTGCCACTATATTAAACAAAGCTCTTTTCAACAATTGGCTAGAAAGCTCTTCTCTGTCAGGTGTCCGATTTGGCCACTGTGACCTTTCTGACTTCTAATCTACTTTACTGTATCTTTCTCTGATTTTGCATAAGCTTGATAAACTTAACAATACAGCAGACTTCTTCAATATGAAGAAGCATTTGAGCTTTTTCATAATTTTCAGTCTATGTAAATATAGTAAAACTTGATTTTACTTTTCTTCCTCTGAAGATATGGTGAATAGAACTTTGATCAGTCAAACTAGACATATTTGTACTTTCCTAGCTTCTTTGAGAGAGGTATTTGCTTTAAAAATGTAATAGATTTCCTTCCTGCATACCTGACATAAAACATACAACACCTCCTCTCAGCAATTGTTTCCTTTGTAGCGCCAAACCTGGGTAGCTAAACTGTAAGCTGTTGAGGGCAGTAGGCAAAGAATCCACATGCAGAATTACAGTTAAAGCCAGCCTCTCATTTTTTATTCACTTATAAATAAAAGATTCACTTATTTTGCAGCCTGTATACTTACATGTACAATGCAAAATACAAAGACTAGTAAGTCCTGGAAGGAAATGAGATTACGAAGAAAAATACGTCAGGCAGAAGGAGCTACAATTTCATCTAAATGAATACTGAAGAGACAAAAAAGCTCTCTGTTTTAATGTGCAATCTTAATTCTGCTACTGTGTTATGATTTGTGTAACTACCATACCATGTGGCTTTCTACACAGCTCAATTAATGCGACGTTGCTGAAATACAGTGCCAAGGTAGGCTGTCTCCCTTGACTCCACATCACTTGATGGGCCTAATTTCTTTGACAACAGTATTTTAATGAAATATTTATTCTTCAGCTTATATCAGTATTCATTTAGTTTTGGTAGCATAAATAAGAATTAATATAGAGGTCTTCCTAAAGCACCTGATTCTATTGACATATAGTGTAGTTTTCTCTTAATACCTCTGTAATGAAGTTTTGACTCTTTTTGGCAAGGAAAAGAAAATGGAAAAAAGTCAGCATACAATTGATTGATGTGAAAGTCCAAAAAAATCACACTGGAAATAAATTAGACTACATTCTTACCCTTACTCTCTCTTCATACAGATTGGACAAAAGATGGTCATTAACAGCCTGATTCTGCTTAACTTCAATGCCAAAGTAGCTACCAAACTGTTTATTTCATTGATGAAAGGACAGGTATAGTAGTTCCAATGTTAAAGACCAGAGGATCAAATTTTAAACCCATAAAAGAGAAATCCTTCTGAACAGTGGGAAAACTTGCAACTGACCTTAGAAAAGCCCAATATATGAAAATACTGTAGAGATCCACATTATTGCATGACCAGCAAAACTGGTGCGATATGGCTTTTGAGGAGTTTGAATTATTAAAGCACAAGAAATTGCCCACAACAAATTAAGCAGATAGTTGGATCAAATTCATAGTCCCAGCTATTGAGAGTAACAGTCTAATACAGGATTTCCTAGACTTTAGTAGAATTTTCTGCAACTCTGGAAAACATCCAGCAAACATGTCTGTTGTCAAATGCCGGGAGATGCAGAATGAGACTGAGCTCAAAGACACCATGCACCTCAAAGGTACCCTCAAAGGGGGTTTTACCAGACGACCTCCAGAGGTCCCCATCAACCTGTATCACCTTAACTACGTCAATGTATTTTAACATATATTCTTCTTTTGAAATTACTCCAACACTTACAATTCAACTACAATATATTCTGTCCAAGCCATTTGTACCTATATTTGAACGTTTCTTCTATGTTTATACCCAGTGTTTTATTTAAAGCAAACATTTACCACTTTTAACACAGCTATCTGAATATAGTAATAGCAGAAAATGTTACAGATTTCTTATTAAGTTTTATCCAAGACCATATAATTATTCCTTCAGAATACGAACTGTCTCTACACCAATGCATGTGGGGCATTTAAGACATCCAGCCCTAGGTCTTGGCTGATGATCACCTCTTTCACTGTGATATGCATTCAGTGGACATACTTCAGCTGAGTCAAACATTATTACAAAAGTGGATGACTCCTCACAAGCTTTTCTTAGTGAGGATTTTTACTTCGTATTCATGCCTTGGTCTGAAGTAGCCTATATTAATAACCTTCTAAATATGCTATAAAATGTCATTTTCTTCTCAGGGTTTGGTGAACAGGGGAAAAAAATGTATCCACAAGCATGATTGAGGGATAAGAGGCTTTTCTACACTTTTTCGGTTTTGCTGTCTTCTTGCCATGGTAATGTTATTAAGAATTCTGGCTGTCAAGGTCAATATATCACTGTATTGATCATATATTAGTATTAATATTATGCTTTTTACCTATCTAATTGTCATTACAGTGCAGAAGACAATTTACATTTGAGGCTGTGGAAAACATTTCTTTTTGAAGTGAATTTTAACTTTCAGTTTTGTGTCCACTTCCATGTAACAGTACAATCATGTGTGATCATAATCCATCACCATGTATAGTTGAATGCTTTCCTAACCAGGAGTGTCACCTAAGAGCATATACAACAACAGTAGGTAAAAAACGTTCACTCTGATTTCAATCATATTTTGCCATACTTGAATTAGGTGGATCAGTATATCAGTCACAAAATACTGCTTTCTGATCTTTTTTAATCTTAAAACAGCTTTTCAAAACAGCTTTTCATGATACATGAAATTAATACACGATATGACGTAATAAATAAGAAAATGCCAATGATGACAGTTACATGATTCAGTTTTCTAATGGACTCCAACTTCCTTCATCAGACCACTTGAGAAAGGAAGCTTGCTGCAGGCAATTATATGCTACAAGAAGTCTCTATGGATTACAGGGGTCAGAATTCACATTTATTGCGCTGCGGCTGGATTGCTAGAAATGTAACAGACTAAAGAGAAATTAAATGTCTGCTTTCTTCATTCTTTTCCATTCCCACAATCAACTAAGGCAACAGCAGACACGTTTGAACTGTAGCAGAGTACACTGATGCATCGAAATGGATGGACACAAGTTATATATTAACTTTATGCAAAATTAAGAAGTGTTAAACATGTTTAAAGTTATTTTTACTTATTTTAAATGCCTTAACTAAGCTGCATAGAAATGGATGGATACAAGTTATACGTTAACTTTATGCAAAACAAGGAACTCTTAAACATGTTTAATATTATTTCTTGCTTATTTCAAATATCTTAAAAAAGCCAGTAACTTCAACTGAAGAGAAGTAATCAACCAGTGCTTACAGTCCTCTAAATGTTCACATAGCATACCAAGCCTTTAATTCTTCCTTGAAATTTTCATGACAGAGCACTGAGAATAATGTAACAGAAGCATGAAGAAAACTAAGATTTAGAACTGGTACATATACTCTATATTGTATTTCTATTGCAGTTTACCTGGGACGAAAATGTACAGACCAGGAAGTCTGCCTGAGACAAAAAGTGAATATCCAGAATAACACCTCTTAGGGAGTTTTCAGTGTATCGGTTATGAAGTCCTGCTGACCAGGATATGGAGTTATCACTGATAAATTCGTAATTTGGATACCTGTGAAAATACAATACACTGTTAACAGCAAAGCCTTTTTTTATTTTTTTTTTTTTTTTTTTAGAAGTATCATCTTTGCTGCAAGATAAGGTTGTTAATTTGTTTTAAGTGAGTCTCTGCTTCACGGGGAATGAATTATAATTTTGTTGAACACTCTAGAATGTTACTGCTGCCTCCAAGAATGCCCTCTCTTTATCCAGAAAAAAAAGAAAATTAAATAAAAAGACACTGTAAGTCTGTCTGAGATCTTACATTGTAAAAGAAGTGGAAAAAATATCAGGAAGTATATGCCACATTCTGCTAATGCTACTGATGTTAGAAGAGGTATACTCAGATCACTTCGCTTTCTCTACTAATAAACAGAATATGGGATTGTGTCTTTACTAGACTACATTTTGTTTATTACCATATTCTCTATTAGATACTGATTACGAGAGTGCAAGAAAATCAGTCATCTGTAAAAGGGACATATTAAATAAACTAAACTAACAAAAAAAAAAAAAGTCTTTCACAGTTATTAAGGCCATATGAAGAACAAATTTTGCAATTTACTGGTCAAAAGGAAATAAAAGAAATGTAAAATTTCATGTCAATACACCTTTCCTGACATATCATAAACAACATAGCAATACTTTAAGTCAAAATATTTTTAAATATAAAACCTTGCTTTATATTATTTTAAAAATAAAATTAAAAGTTTTTAACATGTAACAATGACTTTGAAAGAAAAAAAAATCCTTTTAAAAAACGTTGAAAAAGAATGGTCTTTCTCAAAACATTTGTACCCCTTTACTGGGGAACTGAAATCTGAAATAAACTGCGAAAAGTAGCATGAATTAATTAAATTTTCAGTCAGCCTCCTACCAAATATAAGTTTTATAAGAAAAATTCCAGGTAGATGTAACAAAGATGATAATTACATTGCTGTTACACAATAATTATATTTCAATCATGAAGTGCAACTCATGTGACTAACCTGCCAACTACAAAATTTCAACTACAGGGCTAATTATAAAATAATTTAAATAAAATCTATTTTTCAAATTTACAACTTCATAGCAATTATAAAGCAATACATTACATAAGATAGTAAGGCAGCTAATATTACATTTGTAAGAATTAATCATTCTTATACTGTTTAATAAAGAAAATCAGAATATAGAGCAGGCCATAATGCTGGAGCAACAATAACTTAGACCTGTAACTAGGTGCTTCAAAGCCTGACAGTCCTGTGCTGAACATTGCTAAAAATAAGGTTTACACTCATGAGTTCTTGGAAGGTTACTGAAGTTAGCACACCCTTGTACACAACAACGCAGCATGTGCATACGCTCTGGACACATGGTAGACATGATTACGACAGCCTCTTCTAAGAATATGCCTAATTTATTCCATTTTAATGTTAAAAATATGGGAAAATTGTTTTCAAAGGTGAAATGGGCAAATATAGCAGGCTTTTCCATCTAACATTCACTAGCCATGACTACAAAATCAGGAAATTCATCTCAAGAGCGAATCAAAAAGCCGTATATGCAAAACTTCCGCATTTGAGGAAGAATTTTAATTTATCTTCATAGTGATTTTAATAGAATTTTATGTTCCCAAAAGCAACACCTGCTCTAACAAAAAATAATATATGTATGGTAATTTTCCCAGAGATAGCATGACAACTTTAAAGGGTGCATCTGATCGTGAATGTCAGGGGAAGTTCATGTTACATTAAAAACAAGATTCAGTTTTCTAATGGACTCCAACTTCCTTCATCAGACCACTTGAGAAAGGAAGCTTGTTGCAGGCAATTATATGCTACAAGAACATGAAACAAACATGAAACAAACGAAGAAAAAAAGAAGGAGGAAGAGAAGGTGGAAATATTGTTCATTTGGAATAACTGATAGACCTCTTTTGAGAAATTATAGGAGCATATGGATCAAGAAATAGTTTTTTCAAGATGAACTCTATCAGAATGATCGTTTTCTTTCTTCTCATGTCTAACATTTTTTGTCAATATTTAACCAGCTCTCAAAATACAACAGATGACAACACAATATTTGTGATATATTCCGTTTCTGTTTCCATTGTGTGAATCATATTAGTATTTTTTTAAAAGAAAAAATGTACAGACCAAACAGAAATATGTCATACTCTACTGTGAAAACTAGCTGAGAAACAGAGATGGGCATCAGTCTTACTTCAGTGACACAACTCCGAGGGGAGCAACATGAAGAACATTTAACAGATGATGTAATTTCTAGGGACAGTGAACACAGTAAAGATATTTGCACACCCCTTTGCAAGTCCTTGGCATCAGGAATACTGCTAAAATTAATCACTTCCTTTAGACTTCAAAAATCAGAATCCACATGCTGAGTAGAGACCAAAGAACCTTTCTTGAAGAATCTGTTTTCTTACTAGCAAAAGATCAGTCTAATAACTTAACAAATGAAGCACACCAAAAAGTGTCATATTGGATCTGGTAAAAAAAAAAAACCAAAACAAAAAACAAAAAACAAAAACCACAAAACCAAACAAATCAGAATTATTTACACATCTTCTATGCATACATTTAAAGTTTTCTCCTTCCTCCTTTTATTCTGGAAACAGTCTGAGATGCTTTTAAACCTGGTCTTCAATTCCATTTTGTAAAGTTGATCTAAATTCACCTAACCAACAGTTTCAGAACTCATTTCTTCAAACCAGTGATCCAAGGTTAGCATTTATCTACTCACATGTTTTAAGTTTTCAAACAAGCACTTTTATGTTGTCACACACACACACAATGCTATATTCATGCTTGGGAAAAGTTTCTTTTAAACACCCTAAAATGTGAGTATAATAGCAGACATACTCAGTGTGACCAAAGAATCCTGACTCCAACACAGGCTGAAAGCAGAACATAAAGAAAAATACAGTAAAGGCCAAGCCTATACTCCTCTCAAGATTAGCCATATGTGGCCCACTGACTTCATGCATCAGGTGAGGTTTAAATCTCCTTCCCACTTACTATGGCGCTTTAGATTCTTTTTAAAACTATTCTTACCACAATGACTACAAAGAATAAAGGAAATGAAACTTCTAAAGCTCTATAGTTAGCTCTTGCTTCCTTCTATTCCCTTTTCCAACCTTATTTATATTATGACTAATGTAATACTTACATTGTAAGCTTTTGGGGACTTTTTTTTTCTTTTTAAGCAGAACTCAGGCACAATCCTATTATTAGGATTCCTGAATGCGTGATAAATGAATAATAAGATGTCATATTCTTACTGGCAGAATCACTTAAATACAGTATTTTGTAGGATCCTTCCTAGCTTTCCAAAGAAACTACCCACACATTCTCTTCTCTATAACAGGAAAGGACCAGACTGTGAAGATAAAACCAAAGAATGGAAACTGGCATAATACTGTTTTCTTTGTATCGGACTACATATGTGTAGTATATCTCCTCCACATATCTTAAATAATATCTAATTCTTCTAAAGCTACCTAATAGATTCTTGAAACCTCTATACAGGCCAGGAAGGATTCCCCCCCCAAACAAAAACCACAAAACCAAACAAATCAGAATTATTTACACATCTTCTATGCATACATTTAAAGTTTTCTCCTTCCTCCTTTTATTCTGGAAACAGTCTGAGATGCTTTTAAACCTGGTCTTCAATTCCATTTTGTAAAGTTGATCTAAATTCACCTAACCAACAGTTTCAGAACTCATTTCTTCAAACCAGTGATCCAAGGTTAGCATTTATCTACTCACATGTTTTAAGTTTTCAAACAAGCACTTTTATGTTGTCACACACACACACAATGCTATATTCATGCTTGGGAAAAGTTTCTTTTAAACACCCTAAAATGTGAGTATAATAGCAGACATACTCAGTGTGACCAAAGAATCCTGACTCCAACACAGGCTGAAAGCAGAACATAAAGAAAAATACAGTAAAGGCCAAGCCTATACTCCTCTCAAGATTAGCCATATGTGGCCCACTGACTTCATGCATCAGGTGAGGTTTAAATCTCCTTCCCACTTACTATGGCGCTTTAGATTCTTTTTAAAACTATTCTTACCACAATGACTACAAAGAATAAAGGAAATGAAACTTCTAAAGCTCTATAGTTAGCTCTTGCTTCCTTCTATTCCCTTTTCCAACCTTATTTATATTATGACTAATGTAATACTTACATTGTAAGCTTTTGGGGACTTTTTTTTTCTTTTTAAGCAGAACTCAGGCACAATCCTATTATTAGGATTCCTGAATGCGTGATAAATGAATAATAAGATGTCATATTCTTACTGGCAGAATCACTTAAATACAGTATTTTGTAGGATCCTTCCTAGCTTTCCAAAGAAACTACCCACACATTCTCTTCTCTGTAACAGGAAAGGACCAGACTGTGAAGATAAAACCAAAGAATGGAAACTGGCATAATACTGTTTTCTTTGTATCGGACTACATATGTGTAGTATATCTCCTCCACATATCTTAAATAATATCTAATTCTTCTAAAGCTACCTAATAGATTCTTGAAACCTCTATACAGGCCAGGAAGGATTCCCCCCCCCACCCACACCCCCCTAGGAAAAGGGGAAAAGAAGAAATCAGAAGAAGGTGGGAAAGAGATAGTTTAAAATCTTTCCTTCCTGCACCTACCAGCCTCAGATAAGGATACAAACCAAGAACAGTTATGAGACTATTTCAAGTTCCAATTGGTTTCAGAAGCTGATCAACTAGTTGTGTAACTATAGCTTATCGCTACGCTGTGCAGCAGGTGCAAACCAAGACAAGTCCCAGTCTCCTGTTCTCAATTCACTAGAACTGGGGATGTGTCCAGAACAGGCAATGCAAGTTTTCTTCCCTTTGAAAGAAGAACTTGAGCATGTGCGTAAATAGATGGAGTAAGAAATAATGTGTTTGTTCAGGTCTTGCTCTAAAAAGAATTGGGAAAATGTATAGGCTGTTCATCAGACTCAAGAACTTTGAAGCACTACTGAATTCTATATATGAGGCATACTATGACTCGAGGGCAGTGAGGCTTGCAACAGCTAAACTACAGATAGTACACAGGGAGAAAAGACATTAGCTTGCTATTGTGGAAGTAAATAAACAGTGAAATGGGGGGGGGAAGCTTTCATAAGTGCTGAAAAAAAACCCTCACGAGCGAGGCAAATTACTGGAAAAAAATTAAAAAGCAAAATACAGATGACTTCACAGGTAAACATCCCAAAAGGAAGAATGTAATTTGTTGAATTTTAGTGCTCATATACATGAGAAAGTGACCTAAATAGATTCATATGTAAACCAGATACAGTTTCTTAAGAATTTATGTGCATGTTCAGCTGCATTATTTTGAATACTCTACCTTAAAGAGAGAAGATGCTGTCAATAATATTATAGACCTGAAATAATATACTAGAAATTCAAGTTTGTATCTGAAAACTGTTAAATCAGACAAAGAACAAGCAATTTACACCATCCCTAACACATCACTTATATAATACAAATACCATGACCTCTGCTTACCAGAAGTTGTCAAGTGCTTTAATCCCATAATCATTACAGCTGTTGAACTCTCAACCATGCTCCTCTCTAATCGTGTTGTTTTATATCATCCTGATTCTGAAAATATCTCACTTCTTTCTTTCAGAAAAACAAACAAACAAAACCACACTGCAAACAGATAGTAGTGCCTCCACTTTCTTTACTGCTGTACTTGCAGTTGGTAGACATCTGACTGCAAGGGAAGTTTCTGAAACCGAAGTAAAAACTTTTCTGTTTTCATGGTTATGAACAGTTTGAAATACTTCTCTTAATAGAAACAACATGCCTATTCATGTGAATGTTGGCTAAAATTTCATTAAACGCCAACATTGTTTGACAGCCAATCACTCTCACGTAAAGAGAGATATCTAGTACTTACTAATATTACTGCATCCAGTAATGAATGCCACATAAGCTACTGCAGTACAATGTGACAGCTGTTTCTATCAAAGCTTGGTAGTTCAATGTGATTAGAACTTTTTTGTCAGAAGTGTAAACTAATTTGTAGTTTTCTTCACAAGAAGAGGAAGGAAAGGTTCTTTATTCCCAAAACCTGACCTTAACCTGCCTTCACATGTCCTTAAATGCTGAAATATCAAATTGCATCCTGCCTTCTATGAAATCACAGGAAGTTTCAAATGCATTCTACTCAATTGCAAGCAACAGTAACGTGCAAGCAACGTAGGAAATTATGTTTCAGTGTAAACTATGACCTGAAAACTCAGCAGCAACAGAAAAAAATTCTTCACTGCTTACAGATTCTATGGCTTTTATTAAGAAAACGTACAAAATGAATGCTGTACTAATGAGCTGTATCTTATCATATTTCAGTAAAAGTGTGATTTGGAATGGACCTTGAACTGCCACAGGAACTGCAATGCTTAATAAATTTCAGTACTGTTTTACTGAGCAAAGTTCTCTGTTAGTTTTTGTTGCTATTGAAAACTTGGAATGATATGTTTACATAGGTAGTGCATCTCATTATTATTCACAAAGCTAAAGTACACAGTGCTAAAGACTGAAAGTTGAACACAAATAAAGAAAAAATGCATAACTAAGATTGTTACAGCAATATTGAATTCTGTTATGTTACAAACAGTAATTAAAGTTATTTAGGACAATGTAATGAATTAAATATTGTAACCTCAATTTTGTATTACCTGTCTTTTCATTGTTCAGATTTGCACTTTAAATGTTATTTTATCATAATTGTTTCTGCTACTGTTCTTGTCGCTACATATACAAAAAAGGAAGGATTAGATTGCCATCATCTGGAGTTGTGTATGTTTGTTTAGTTTTTTCAAAACTCCATAATTTTAAACAGCAGCCCTTTACAGATATGAAAGAAAAGTAGAAATAGCACAATTGAAATACACAGGTTTGCAATGCTGTAGAAAATTCCTCTACTACAAAATAACATTTTCTGCTTACCTTGTATATGCCAAAGAAAATTTGTAATCCAGTATTTTATCTTATATATTTTTCCAAGCATGTCTACCATGAATAAAACAGTTCAAAAATTTGCCATTTTTGAGCTACCTTGATTTTAAAAAGTCTTAATTTCCTTGCTTAAATGAAAAAATACGTATTCTTCTGCTCAAGAGACATAATTTGGAAACAGAAATAGGCGTTATTCAGTAGACAGATAAATAACTAGTACTCGAAAGGAAAACATGCTAACTTGTACTCGGTAATGAATACGCTTAACTTCAATGCATCTGAAATACTTATCCAAGTTTCCATAGTCATGGCAACAAGCATTTGTGAAATTGTTTATATGCCATAAACACCATAACCCAAGAAAGATACAGTTAAATATGGAATAATATTCTTCCATACGCATCTGCTTTCTTTTACTAAACAGAAGGTTTTACCATCCCAGTGACACCTTGCAAAACATGCAACTTAACAATGAGTTTTTACAGGAAAATACAAGACACGTTAGGAGTAAGTGGATGCATACTGTGCATTTCCAGGTTTGAACACAGTTATATTTTCTATGACAGGCTGGGATATCCTATAGCTACAGTAGGTTGTTACACCCATGTTCTGGAGAGCTAGAAGAGGACAAAGAGCAAAAAAGGGACAGAGACAATGTTACAGATTGAGAATCCCACATATATTTAAGGACAAACTTTAAAATTACTCAACTTGTAGGGTGGAAGTCTTCTCAGCTGTCAATATAGAAATCTTTCTGAAAGAGTCATCAGAAGCTTTTCAACCAACTTATAAAAATTTCTCTGGCAACTATTCACAGAAAGGTATTGTTTGGACAGGTGAAACTTCTAAATACATTATCTAGTTTTTACAATATTTCTGAATAGTTTATTTTTAATATGTATGTTCTATAAGAAGTTTGGTGTCTTTATTATTTCTATTTTTACTTCCCTTTTACAGCATTGGTTTGTTTTTAAATAGTCACAAGTATCTTGGTCAACTTTTCTAGATTTTTAACATTAAGGTTTGAAAAGCATACTTGGGGAAAAAAAATCATCCAAAAAAGAGAAAGTTTGAGAGAAAAATCAAAATCACTGGAAGCTGAAATGCAATCTTAACTGTATATATAAATGATAACAAAAAAAAAAGATACTAAGATTTGTGCGCACAATAGTGAGAAATTGTAAAGCTAACAGAAGGAACAAACTGTAATATAAACATAATTCATCTTACTTGGATTTTGCCTCTTGCAACAATGAAGGGTCATCTGTAGCCAAATACACTCTTTTTTTATCAACAAGCATTCTGCGAGCAAGAAGTTCAAACCGCTC